CAGCAGCAGCAGCAGCAGCAGCGGCGGCGGCGGCGTCTGCTGCTGCTGCTGCTTCGGGGCTGCTGCTGGCTGCCTTCGGGGGGCCCCCCGCAGCCTTCGCAGGGCCCAGCAGCGGCGCAGCAAAACGCAGCACTGACTTCCACGTCAGGGGGCCCCCGGGGGGCCCCTCAGAAGGGCCCTTTGGGGGCCCCTCGGGGGGGGCCCCCCGGGGGCCCCCAGGGGGGCCCCCAGGGGGCCCCCCGGCCCAAGCGGGCTGCGCGGCCTCGCCGGGGCCCCAGAAGGGAAAGGCGGGGAACGCAGACCCGCCCTCAGCCAAAAACAGCAGCGCTGCTGCTGCTGCTGCTGCTGCTGCTGCTGCTGCTGCTGCTGCTGCTGCTGGAGGCCGCATGCTGCAGGCGGCGGGGTACCCGCGGGCTCAGCGGGGCCCTCGTGAGCAGCAAGGAGGTCTCTGGGCCCTCAGCCTTGCGGGCCCCGTCGCTGCAGCAGCAGCAGCAGCTGCTGCAGCAGCAGCAGCAGCAGCAGCAGCACAGGATCTCCCGTGCAAAAAGGGCCCTTCGCGGGGCCTCTAGGGCAGCACAGGGGCCCTGGTGTACGTACACCCGAGGCTGCGTCCCCACAGCTGGCTGCGCGGCGCGCGCAGCAGCAGCAGCAGCAGCAGCAGCTGCAGCAGCAGCAGCTGCTGCTGCTGCTGCTGCGGGTGTGTGTGCGTGGCTGCTGCTGCTCCAAGCCGCGGAGCGCTGCAGCGCCTGCTGCTGCTGCCTGTCCGTCCAGGGGGCCCCGCGCTGCTCTTCTGCTGCAGTGCTGCTGCTGCAAAAGCCAAAAGGGGCCCCGCGCTGCTCTGCTGCTGCAGTGCTGCTGCTGCAAAAGCCAAAAGGGGTTTGAAGAGTTTGGGAAGAGGGGGCCCCCGCTGAGGTGTACGTACACCGCAGCTCTCGCGGACCAGCAGCGCCGCCGCCGCCGTCCCGCCGCCGCGCGCTGCGGCCGCTTTCTCGGGGATTTTTCGGAGATTTCTTCAATAAAATAAAAGTAATTGTTCAACAATTTATTTTTAAATGATGTTCAAGGGTTGTTTGCAGCCACACACTGTCCAGACACCCCAGAGCCCAACCCGCCGCCGCCGCGCAGTGGTCTGTCTCACCGCCGCCGCCGCCGGGGGGCCCCGGGGGCCCCCTGGGGGCCCCTGCTTCGGCTTTTGCGAAAATTTTAATTCTTTTTTAATTTAAATACTAAATAATGCATTTAAAACCCACTGGCTAAGTCTTTTTTGAAGAAAAGGGCCCTGGGGGGGCCCCCGCGGGCGCCGACTTGCCAGGCCGCACACGCTGCCGCCGTCAACAGGCCCGCGCCCAGCACACCCGCCTCTAAACCCTAAACCCTAAACCCTAAACCCTAAACCCTAAACCCTAGCTGTGAGCCCCCAGGGAGACGGGGGTGCGGGATTGGGGGGGACCTGGCCCGCGGGCTGCTGCAGATTTCGAGGGTTTAGCCTCCAGGGTTTAGTCTTGAGGGTTTGCAGCCTAGGGTTTAAGCTTTGCTGCTGAGGGTTTAGGGTTTGCAGGAATTGCCCGCGGGCCTAGGGTTTAGGGTTTAGGGTTTAGGGTTGCCAGTCTCAAATGATTAGAATAAGATGTCGAAAATAAAATTTATTTAAAAAAGAAAAAGTGGAAAGAGCCCCTAGACTCCAACGCAGCCAGCCAGCTAGCTAACCCCTAGCAAAGCTAGCAGCTAGCTAGCTAGCAGCTAGCTAGCTAGCTGCAGCCAGCTAGCTGCGGCCAGCTAGCTGCAGCTAGCTGCTGCTGCTTCTCTTTTTCTCGAAGTCTACCTGCCCCACAGTCAAGGGGCCCCCGGGGCCCCCCCCGGGGGCCCCCACGGGGGCCCCAGGGCCCCCCTGGGGGCCCCAGAGGCCTCCCTGGCGGCTCTGGGGGCCCCCAAAGCCCCAGGGGGCCCTGGGGGGCCCCCAGGGGGCCCCCCGCGTTTCTGTTGGGGGGCCCCGCAGCAGCAGCGCTGCAGCAGCTAGAAAAGGGTTTGCAGAAGCAGCAGCAAAAAGAAAAGAGTTTTTTAAAACTACAGATTAGCGAGAAAAGGTACAACTAAGGTCTGCCCCAGAAAGGGGCCCCAAGCCCTTAAAGGAGCTTGAGGAGAGGGGGCCCCTATTTGCCGCGAGCCCTCTATTTCCTGCCTTTGCTGCTGCTGCTGCTGCTGCTGCTGCTGCTGCTGCTGCTGCTGCTGCTGCTGCTGCTGCTGCTGCAGCAAACGGCAGGGCGTCAGGCGCCGCCCCCCTCCGCGTCCCCAGAGGCAAATCTCTGGGAGCGCCGAACTCCGCTGCGGGAGGGGGGCCCCGGGGGGCCCCCCCCTCGGGGGGCCCCCCCCTTGGGAACCAGTACCCTGGGGGCCCCCCCTGCCCCCCGGAGGCGGGGCCTCCCTCTGCCCCTTCTGCGCACAAGGGCCCCTCTTGCTGCTTCTTCAGACCCTCCAGAAAGGGGCGTGGAGGGGCCCCCGGGCCCTCGGGGGGCCCCCGGGGGCCCCCTGGGGGGCCCCCCGGGGGGCCCCCCAGGGGGGCCCCCCGGGGGCCCCTCCACCGAGGCCTCTCTCTCTAGACCCTCAGAGCCCCCGCAGCTCTCGGCCTCACCCTCCTCGGCTGGCAGCCTGCGGGGGGGCCCCACCCCGCTGCTGCAGGTGCTGCTGCTGCTGCTGCTGCTCTCTGTGCTGCTGTTGCAGTAGCTGCTGCTGCTGCTGCCGCTCGTGCTGCTGCTCGTGCTGCTGCTGCTCGTGCTGCTGCTGTCCGTCTCGCTGCCCCTCCTGCTGAGGCCCCCGCGGCGGCGCCGCCCAGGCTGCGGAGGGTTGGAGTCTGCAGCAGCAGCACAAGCACAGTTCACGTGGCAGCAAACCTGCAGCAGCAGCAGCTGCTGCTGCTGCTGCTGTTGTTGCTGCTGCTGCTGCTCTTCACTGGGAGACAGGCCGTTTCACCTGCTGCTGCTGCAGCACATCGCCTTACCTGAAGCCTGACTATCTGCTGCGCGACTCGACGCGTCTTCCGCTGCTGGCTCTGCTGCTGCTGCTGGGCTTGCTGCTGCTTTTGCTGCTGCTGCTGCTGCTGCTGCTGCTGCTGCAGGCTCCTCCGCGTCGGCCGCGGCCTCGCTGCCCGGGGGCCCCTCTCTGTCTCCAGGGGGGGGGGCCCCTCCCTGCTGCTCTGCTGCTGCTAGCTGCTTCGCAAGAGCTTCGAAGGAAGACATGCTGCTGCTGCAGCAGCTGCTGCTGCTGGCGCCGCTGGAGCTGCTGTCGCTGCTGCCGCTGCTGCTGCTGCTCGTGCTGCTGGCGTCGAGCCACGCGGACTCATCCTGCAGGCTCTCTGCAGGATTGAAGCGTGGCGACTTCGCTGCAGCAGCAGCAGCAGCAGCAGCAGCAGCAGCAGCAGCAGGCGCTGCTGCTGCTGCCTGCGTGCTGCTCCAGTTCGGGGGGGCCCACATCCCAAACCCTAAAATAGGGGTTTCGCCAGCTAGCCGCGGAGACACTCGCAGCTGCGTCACGGGGGGCCTCGCGCCCCTTCCCCTTTTGGCTCCCCTGCGGCCCCTGCCTGTTCCCCGTGCTGCTGCTGCTGCTGCTGCTGCTGCTGCTGCTGCGGGCTCTGCTGCGGCTGCTTCCGGCGCTGCTGCTGCAGCAGGTGTGGAGCCAGCAGCAGCAGCAGCAGCAGCAGGCTCCTCCTCCGCCGCTCCGGGGGTCGTCGCGGTCCGCTTCCGCCGACGCCGGTCGCTCTGCGGCGCTGCTGCTGCTGCTGCTGCTGCTGCTGCTGCTGCTGCTGCTGGTGTCCCTGCTGCTGCTGCTGGCGCTTCTGGGGCTGCTTCCGCCGCCGCTGGCGCCGTGGCCGCAGCCTTGTCAGCAGCAGCACCAAGCGTTGGGGAGTCCACGCCTGCTGCTGCTGCTGCTGCTGCTGCTGCTGCTCCCGCCGGAGCTGAGGAGACTGCTGCAGCACGGCGAGCAGCAGCACCAAGCCGTGGCACTTTTGGCGAAGCTTTTGCTGCAGCAGGCTGAGGCCTTCGCGTTTCTTGCTGCTGCAGCGGCAGCTGCTCCTGCTGCTGAGGCTCCGGCTCCGGCTGCTGCTCCTGCTGCTGCGGCTCCTGTGGCTGCTGCTGCTTTTGCTGCTGCTTCTGCTGCTGTTTTTGCTGCTGCTCCTGCTGCTGCTGCTCCTGCTGCTCCTGCTTCTGCTGCTGCTTCTGCTGACTAGGCGGCTGACGCGTGCTCTTCTCACGTGCCTTCGGGGCCTCTTCTTCTGAGCTGCTGCTGCTGCTGCTGCTGCTGCTACTGCTGCTGCTGCTGCTGCTGCTGAGCACAAGCCGCCTCCGTTTGCGAGGCAAGTGTTTCTGTGCCGCAACAGCAGCAGCAGCAGCAGCAGCAGCAGGCTGCAGCGCCTGCACGCCGGAGCGGGAAAGGGCCAGCGAAGACTTCGCAGCTGCGCGGCTCACTCCGCCTAATGCTGCTGCTGCAGCAGCAGCAGCAGCAGCTTCTTTTGCTGCTTTGCCTGGAGTTGCGGCTCCTGCTGCTGTGTCAGTTGAGCCCGAAATCTCGGTGCTGCTGGCGTTGCTGCTGCCGCCGCGATCTGCAGCAGCAGAAGCAGCAGCAACTGCTGCTGCTGCAGACTTCGCCGTGGCCTCCGCTGCGCTGCTAGCCTTAACCTGCTGCTGCATTGACAATTTGCTGCTGCTGCTGCTGCTGCTGCTGCTGCTGCTGCTGCTACCGCTATCTCCTTTGGAGCCAGCCGGCTCAGAGCGCACAGGCACAGCAGCAGGAGCAGCAGACGCTGCTGCTGCTGCTTCCTTAACAGGCGGCTTTCGTGCTGCTGCTGCTGCTGCTGCTGCTGCTGCTGCTTCAGGCTTTAAACTGCGCGTGGCATTCACAACAGCCTCGGCGAACGCCGGAGGAAGGCCCTCTGTGTCCTGCAGCGGCCGCTGCTTTTCAGCAGGTGCAGCAGCAGCAGCAGCAGCAGCAGCATCTGCTGCTGCAGCTGCTGCTGCTGCTGCTGCTGCACCGGGAGGCGGCGGGAGGCGAATCACCGCAGGCAGCAATCGGAGCGAAGAGACCGGACTTACCGCAGCTTGCTGCTGCTGCTTCAGCTGCAGCTGCTGCTGCTGCTGCTGCTGCTGCTGCTGCTGAGCAGACACGGCCAGCAGCAGCACCAGGACAGCCCCCCCGTCCGGGCTCTTAAAGCGGCAGCTGACAGCAGCGTGCTGCAGCGCAGCATCCATAGACCCGAAGCGCAGCAAGCAGCAGCAGGAACCCTCAGCAGCAGCAGCAGCAGCAGCACGCAGCTGCGG